CCCCTCCCTCCTCTCTCTCTCTCTCCCCCTTTCGATTCTCCGTTTCAAACGCGAGCGTGTATCGCAAGTTATACGCGAAAACCGACGAAAATCTTTACCACCCCCGACCCGCAGTGCGAGCCAGCCTCGTTTCCGGGGATATTAATTAAAACGGGGAAGGAAATGGAGAAAAAAGAAGGAAGGAGCGTAGAGGGGAGAAAAAAAAAAAAAAAGAAAGAAAAGGGAAACGGAGACAAAAACATTTACGCGACGGCGAAAAATTTCCCCATTGTATCCGGGCAAAGGGCGAGTCGAACGGCGGCGATACAGAGTTTTCGTCGAACGTGTTCGTTGCGAATGACAACCCCCTGTGTCGTGCACACGACAGATGCAGCGAACAATATGGCTCGACGTGTGCGTCGGTTTTGATTTCGGTGTTATTATGCCCACGGTCAGGTATAACGCACGGGCAGAGAACGTGTCAGCCGTCGATCCGTCGTTATTTCGTGCTTTCGAGGGGCCCCTGCACGCCGCTCGCAAAATTGATCTGCGACGCTACATGCGACCGACGCATATACCCCTCGCGATACACTCGAACGCTGCATTTCCGCTGCTCGACCCCTACCATTTATGAAATTTTCCGCGCCCCATTTTTCTCCACCGCTCCCTCTCTTCGCTTTACTTCCACCATCGATTCTCCCCAAATTTTCTATCCCCGGACGAGTATCGTAACGTAAATCTCGACTTCGATCCAAGGAGAAATAATACGTGAGCCGTGATTAAAAGATTAACTCGTCGATTACAAATATTTCGAACGATTGTAAAAATTTAATACGACGAAAGATATAGATATTTCACGAGATATACGGATCTATATCGTTTCGAGCTCAATATTTTTATCATGAATATTATTATCATGAATATGATAAAGAAAAGTGTTATAAATAAATAAGTGAGATCGAAGGGGAGCGGGGAGGGAAGTGGTGGAAAATCAGGACGACATAAAGTTAGACGACACCTAAATTTATCCACGAGAATTATCGAAAGAGATTGGATTTCGAATTTACGACCGCTCTTTGTTTCCGCCCCTGTATCACCCTGCATCGCTCCCCGCCTTATCAAAATTTCAAATAAGAAACATCGTGAAAGTAAGCCATCCCTCGAACCGGGGGGAAGAGATCCGAGTGACGAAAGGGCGAAAAAACGATGTTGCATCTCCCCACCCTTGAACGACGGCCCTCTTCCATCTGGGCATCGACCTAAAATCGGATGGTAAGAAGCGGATGGAGCTTGGCGCTACGTTCACCAGGGCTCGCCAGTCGTTGGTCCAGGCCAACATCCCGTGCACGGCGGTCGCTCATCCTGTCGGAGGAGACGCGAACTACATTTGGGGTTGCAGTACACCCTGCGCGCAGGCCGTCCGCAAACAATAGACGCGTGCGTGTGAAAGAGAGTCTGTGGACGGATAATTTCATTAAGTAAAAATGTGTATCGACTGAAGTGATGAAAAAAAAAGGGTGGAGATCGGACGCGTTGAATAAGAAATAACGGTGGATGAACGATCGACGAAGGAAATGAACCGAGCGAAGGAAAACATCTGGAAGCGGTAATATGGCTGGGATCGGCGTCGTTTGACTCGATAAAGTGTCCATCCATTCTCTGTTTTCGGAAAGAAAAAAGAAAAATTTTTGATTGGGGGAATAAAAGAGGGAATATCGTGATCGATCGTAGTCGATTTCGTCTCTTCGGATCGAGGAAAGATTTGGATTGGAGGGATGGCCGGTTGTGCGCAAAAAATTTTGCTGATCCTCGCTGCATTCGGGGGGATCCTGCGCCGTGCATGACCGGCGGCGGAAAGAAATTTGTCGGTAAGTGTTGCGGTTACTATTGATTATGTTGTACGCTTGTCGATGATACTGTTCGCTCGATACTTCGTGTCACCCACGCGTGAACGATGGTAACCGACCGCCCGTCCTTTTCGTCAAGAGACCGACTCGGTTGATCCTTGGAACCTGTGGAACAGGAGAAAAATTAGGATTAAAGCGGGGATAAGCGTTTACCTGAGAAATGAGATCCTACGACGGTGAGAGCAGCTCCACGGAGGACGATGACAGAAGAGAGGGTCTTCCCGAGGCCCACTTGCAGCAAGGATCCTGGCAACGTTCGGCTTCGCACCCTACGTGGGCTTGGGAACATCGAACCGCTGTAAATATCGTCGATCGATATTGTATATTTCAATAATTGAAAAATTCAGAATATTTAATCATTATCGTCCATTATACCGCAGCATCCATTGCCACCACAATCAACGGCATCGCTCGAATCCATGTACTCGTTACCAGGGGCGTCTCACGCCAGTGTTTCCGCTCCTCCAGCTGGCTACTCGTCCGAGCACCCTCAGAGCGCACCTGGAAGAAGAACTCCCTTGGGTGCCGTCGGCCTCGGCGGTTTCTATTTTCAGCAACAGCCCCAACCGCACGCTTCGTCGAGTGCCCTTTCCGACGAGAACAGACCGGACCAAGAGAGGTATTACTTAAACTTCGTAACATGGATCAACCTTTCCGATTCTACATTTATTAATTGGATATTATTACGTAGACCCGGAGCGTCGAGATTGAACTGCCCGCCAAAATCGAAGACCACGCGTCAAGGGAAGAGCATGCGATTGAACATCAACGCGAGAGAGCGTAGAAGAATGCACGATTTAAACGATGCTCTCGACGAACTTCGATCCGTTATTCCTTACGCCCACAGTCCGTCCGTAAGAAAATTGTCCAAGATTGCCACTCTCCTGTTGGCAAAAAATTATATTCTCATGCAAGGTAGGAGAAAAAAGGAAGGGAGGGAGGCTTGCTTTATTTTTTTTCTTTTTTTTGCGTATTTAAATCGAATCGTTCGTTGGCGAATCACACACGTTGCAGGAAACGCTTTGGAAGAGCTGAAAAGAGTGATAGCGGTTTTGCAATCGCCTCACGCTCACACCACGGCTTTACCACCCACACCTGTTTCCTACGATTTGCTGCACGGATTCCCAGGCAAGTTGTTCCAAGGTGTGCCGGATATGCAAGGACTTCCTACGACAGATCCTCAAAGCGTGACGGCAGGTGGTCCTCCGACTGATGGTACTGTGGCCAGTGGAGAATCGAATTAAAAGATTCGAGCCTTTGTTCCTTGAATAGATATTAAGATTAAAATCGAGAATCGAATGTGTTACGGGGTGGCGTTACGAATGTTGATTAAAAAATGACAAAGGAAGGATTTCTTATTATACAATTTACAAGATAAAGGAGGGGACGGCACTAATTTTAGTGTTAATAACGATTTTTATGAATATATATTGCGAGGATCTTAAACGCGATTAATCTTCCAGAATGGAATCTAACGATTTAATTTTAACATTAAGATTATAATATGAAGATAGCGTGTAAGTTTCGAATGCGAGATTAATTGTTGATACGATGAAAGTATTAGAAATGAAGTATTCAAGGGCGTATTCGACATATACTGTTACGAGTTCGATAAACATTGAGTCAATACTAGTACGTATGGTTGATACTCTTAAGATTGAAAGTTTATGAAAGTACTAGCAATTAACGATTAAGAGTAATTACTTACGATAACTAAGAAGAGCAATAAGTAACAGGATATTTCTGTCTCTGGTGAATGGATATCGACTTTTAATGAGAAAAAGAATAACATTCTAGAATGAATTTTATTTATGTTATTTTTTTTTTTTTTCTTCTTTTTTTCGATTTTAAATCTCAAACATTAACTGCCAGAGAGAGAAATGATGAGTAAGGATGAGGAATAAAATTTCCAAATCCCGTCCGGCAACGCGATAGTCAATATAGCATGTGATACATGTCGAGATATTATATATATATATATATTATATTCTAGTCATACACGCGTACAGATCTTAAATATTCATATACATATTATATATAGATATATATATATATATTTAATAATTCGAATTGAGCCATCGATTGTATAACTTATTTATATACATAATGCGTTTATTAAGAGTTTACTACGATGTGCCAAGGATATATCCATTTTTTGCGAGAATAATTGCATGGACCTAAATGAAAGACGAAAGTATTCCTATTTAAAAATGATTTTTTAATTTAATGAACCTTAAATCTGGAATCTTCCGCTCTCTGATAGGTCTACAAGAGACATTTTAAAAAATCTAAAGACTCCATTAAAGTGGAAAACAATAACAATTATTATTATATTATTCATATAAAATTCCTAATGACTTTGGTCATTAAATAACAATAAAAGTATGCGAAGGCTACACTAACAATGAAAACAGACGAAGATATTTGTTGTAGAGTGTAGATTTCACTGTTTAGTGCTCGAATAAAATCTATTTAAGAAAGTTATAGATCGGATGGGTGCTCTGAAAGAAAATCGTTAAATATAAAATGGAAGAAATATAATATTATTTTGGTCAACTCCAATAAAATAAAAAATAAAAAAGATTGACAATGATCTATATTCTTTCAGGGCAACCGTAATATAGAATTTTAATTGCAAAATATATACATCGAAATGAATCAATATGCTGATAATATAATTATTATTAAATGAACGATAATACATTTTTAATATAATAATAGTTTAATATCGCACGGTATATATACTTTTCAAATATTTTACACTTTAATCTATTTTAAAACGAGACACAAGTTTCTAATTAAGTTAATGATTTTCAATTTAATTCAAATTAAATTACATGGAAAGATATCAGAAACGTGTGAATCGTTTAATGAAAATCGATCAATTTTTACAATTGTTGAACTATCATATCGTTATTATCGTCATAATTATTAAAAAAATATATATTCATTAATCTTAGAAAAATTATAAACACCATATATGACATGGTGAATCACAATATCAATTATAAAATAATTAATAATTTCTTTTTAAATTAATTTTTAAAAACCAACTATACATTAACAAAAGCAAATATTTATTATCTAAATTACACGTACACGTGATGAATCGGTGGCGCCATCGTGACAACCGCGCGATGAAGTATCAATTTGATTCCACTCGAATATTTTTTTGAAACAAAATATAACATTGTTGTAAAATCTAACTTTTAATTCACATAATCGTATAAGAAAAAAGTTGCATTATTATAAAGGATATCGGATTCAATCGGAATAAATCAATTAACGTATTGTAAGGCGAATTTCGTTCAAGTTTGAAAGGTTCGACAAGTGGCGCCATCATGGCCGCCACTTTACGGAGCATTCACTTGATCGTCTTCCGTCCTTCTAGGAGGATCTTACACCGTATGTGCCTGATACGACGGGGCTTATTGTGTGTGTGTCTTGTCGGTGGCTTCAAGATGGCCTGTAGGCTGGTTCTACGCGCCATGGTGTGATCATTTGATTTCCGGTGGTTGTGTCTTTGTAAACGTTTCGTGAAAGAATTCGTCAGTGTCAAAACGACGACGTGACTCGACCGGCTGGTAACTCGGGGCAACCTGAAAATGTGACAATCGACTGAAAACCGGTAAGTCGTCACACACATGATATTATTTTCTACTTTGTGATAACTGAATGATCGATTATAATTTTATTACAACAAGTTTAACAATGTAGTCATTTCTAAAAAAGAAATATATATAGTTAGGAGAATAAACAGAAAGAAGATAAAAAAAATAAACTATGATAAAGACGGATATACCAGATAGTAACAAACTGTTTTTCTTTTGTAATCTGAAAGAATAGGGAATAATACGATAAAACGGTAACTTCACGGTTATAATTGTTTTTGAAATGACTTGCTTGATAGGTTATGATGTCATAATCGTCGAGAGTTCGCGCAATGTCTTTGTCTTCGTTGCTCGATCGTGATCACAATATCTTTATGTTCGTTAATTTTGTCTTTGTCGTATTAGTTGGTAAAATAGAACGAAACGAGGTGTGATTAACATAATGTACCGAAAAAATTGAAGCATATAATTAATGCACGTATGTGTCCATTGCATTTTTTTACCTACGATATATATCTTTCGTAGTATATTTTCCGTTGCGAGTGGGAGAACTAACCTTACCTCTCAATTGGGCGAAAGACACACGACGGGGTCGCTATTGGTAGTCCTTTCTACATACCTGACACGCAAAACTTACCTGTGTTCTTAATCAACATTTTTGTCAAGGATTTTTATTTTTTTAAATTTATTTGCAAAAATGCGTTACTCAGTTCTTTCTATAATTATAAAAGTTGTCATTATTAAAGATATTATATATTATCAATTGAAATTATGTATCGATATAATTTTTTGAATTTTGAATTTTGAATTTTATTGATTTGAAATGAATTTAACAGTATTTAAAATTGTGATCGTGGATTTATATTGTGCTTTGTTTGTCGAATGAAATTTTGTTGAGATTCGATAAGAAAAAAAGATATCTGTTTTCATGAGCGATGAACTCCACGTTTTATAGTCACTTGTGAACAGACCATTGGCCAGCCTGTGCTTATTTGCCGTTGACGTCAATTAAGGTCGAAATATACCTTGAAACAGTTTGATTCATTGCCACATGATGCTCTTCGACGAAGGATTAACTTCATGGACAGTATCATGCGTTCACGAATAATCTGATAGGAACACGGTAAGGTAAATAATAATAAACTTTTAAATCGTTCGTTAAATCCTTCAGCGTGACATCGTGACACACTATCGTCTATGCTTACTTCCGGTCTACTACGTTTGTATTTCATTTTTACCATATTTATAATGAACTAACTGTACTTAATTGTTTTTTAAGAAACATATTTTTTTGAAATACAGTTATTCCATGATTTCAATCTAGAAAATAATCTACAAAAGATACATTAATAATTTTATAAAGAAACAATATTAATTTTGCTTTATTAAGAACAAATATTAAGAATTCAGTTTGAGGAAACGATTATCATTTTTAATCTGTTATACAAAACTTTGCATATGGTTTCCATAATGATTCCATAATCATCTTTAAAAAAATATTCCTAAAATATTTTTAATCAAATAACTATGATATTTGAAACATGATAAAGAATTTTAATAGTGAAACCTGTTTTATAGAAAAGAAGTTTGATAGCCAAACGCAGAAAAGCATTTCACATCCTTATCGGTTCAAGCTGATCTGAAGTACAAAAGAAGTTACTTGTGACGCATTTCCGGTAAATTTATCTCAGGTGTATAAAACGTACGTCGACAATTGGCACGCGTGACGTATAGCGTTAATGATAAAAACCAATCTTACTTACACTATATTACAGGGTCATGAATTTTTGGATAAGCATCGCGAACGCGTTTTATATACAAGCAACAAGTATGTGGCATACATTAATTTTTACGAGTGCGCATATCTGCGATTGTCGACGTGTGCGCGCATCACATTGCGCAAACATACCTACTACGTGATCAGGAAATGTATATATTATATTTCATATGATAAAAAAATTCATCCTATATAGTGAGATATATAAATATATGAGGTATATATAATATTAAGAACGAGATATTTTAGACGGTTTGAAAATGATATAAATTTTTACATTTATTTTTTTCAATATATTGGCATATTTTTTATATTTATTTCTACATCAAATTATTTGATTTAAAATAATTTGAATTTATTTTATTCAGTGAATAATTCTTCGATTAATTTTTCCAAGTACTAGAATGATATCAATGTTCAATTTTTCATCGAACTTATGAAGTCATACACGTGAATAGTATGATATATTCTAATTATCGCAATTATATATCAAATCAATAAGTGATTATCCTTTTTTAATGAGAGAAAAAAATATATAATAAGATATATATTGATTATATGTATTCTTAATTAAAAATCGGCTTAATCTATATGATATTGAATGTATCGAAATTTAATTTAAGATTCAATAATCTAAAATTTTACGATTTTTAAAAAACATAAACAATGTTATATTTTCTATGCACTTTAAAAATGTACATTCATGCTTAAAACTTTCAAGTACAATTTTCATGTAATATAACGTTTCTTTCATGAAGAATATTTGAATAATGAATCAAAATTGTCGTTGGGTCAAGGATTATTTGAATTATCTTAGTTTGTCTTTGTTTTTATATGAAGGACGATAATTGAAACAAACGAATGCAAAATCCGTGATTCGGTGTACCTTCTTTGCATATTTCACACATAATATAATAATAAACTTCAAATCTAAAAAAATTAATGCTTATCAATTGTAAAGCTAAAAGTAATGTTTATGGAATGATAAATGATTTCGTTATCAATATTTTTTCTGTTTATGCTCGAGACTTGTCAATTTTTATTTTTATTTTTATTATTTAATTTGTTGGAAAATATGCTACATTGAATATATCACGTAAATAAAGATATGTGGGAAATATTAAAAAAAAAATCTATACATTGTTAGTATTTTAAATAACTTGATTACATGTAATTTGATCTTCAATTAAAAAAAAAATTGCTTAAGAAAAAGATATAAAATGTAACAATAGTTAATTATATAATTTTATGCTTTCGTGATTTTATTTATTTATTACTTTTATTTATTGAATTTATTAAATTTTATTGCGTCTTATTAATGTTTGACTTTTGATATTATTAAAATTTTTATCATTTGAGTTTATTTTTTAAATATATATTAACTTTTGATTTTTACTATATATCGTGAAATTGTTATTTTTTATTGGAGATACGAGAAAGAAACAAAGTTGCAAAAAATTAATTATTATTTTGTATATTAAGTACGTAAGATTACACGTAATATTTTTAGGTTAGGTTAGCTTTTTTTTCTTTAAAATGTAAATATCATAAATTATTTTGAAAGTAACTATTCACTAACTTTTAATTATTTGTTAAAAAAGCTAATACACGATGATTGATGGGATTGGAAAACATTGGAAACCATATTAGAAAGTTCTTTGCAAACCTTATAACCATATTAACTGATTTGCTATGAAAGAATATATTCGTACGATATGATATCAATATCAATGTATCAATATATGATATCAATATCTATCTTCAATTGTTGTATATCAGGTAGTCCTCTTCTGCTCTCTCTTATTATTTCATTTTTTAACAGAATTTATGCAAATTTTGCTTATTATATTTATTAATTTACGTAGTAGTCCATCAAATTCATCTAAAAAAATAGTTATATGAATTTCAAATAATTGCTCAAATATTTATCAATTCATTTTCTTTTGGAAAAATTGATTAACCGATTATAGATTATTAGAGATTATCATATAAAATATTGAATTCAAAGATACATCGCAATAATTTAATTTTGCATATTATTTAAAATTTCTTTACTTATATTTACTAGTGAATACTAAATGAATTTGAATGAACAATGAATTTATACAAAGAATTGATATATTTTACTAAAAAAGAGAATATGTTTATATGAACGTAAAGCGAATTCGTTGCTTTTATAATCCTGTTCTGTGTTGAGCTCTTCTCTCTCCCTCTTTTTTCTCTTTTTCCCAATAGTTTTGGATTTATTATTTTTCATTAACGAACAACCAGTGGATTCAGAGGTGGGTGGTTGAGAGCGTCGAGTGAAAAATGGTAAAATAAGAAAGAAGATGAGAGAGGGAACATTGCGATGGTTGGGGAAGAGAAACAGCAAAGGGAGAGAGATGAAAACAAAGCGAACACAACTGCCAGGGTAACAATGGCGCATCGACCCGCCAAAACTCGCGCTGATGCGCAGAAACGCACGCGCCGCATTTGGTCCGATCGAGCAACGTGTTAACCTATCTTTTATATTTTTCGTATCGTAATAATTTTGTCGATTCAATCGATTTTCTGGCTAACAAGATAAATCGAAATATATCATCTTCGTCATCAGTTCGTCATCGAAAGGAATATTGCGGCGTGTAAACGCCGTTGAAAAAAAGAACTAGACCTTTATTCGCCCGATGCGCAAAAGCATGCGCAGTAGATTCTTGGAAACGACCGACTCTTGATTAACGTAGTAGCTTCTCTACGATTAAAATTCTTTCAATTCTGTTTTAAATTTATTTTTATTTTGATACAAATTGTTGAATTTTTGATAATAAATTTTGTTGGTTATCGAAAAAAAAAATTTATAGTAAAAATATTATTCGATTTAATAGTATTGATTTTATTTTATGTATTATGTTGCAATAAGTATTGATAAGAAAAAGTTATTGCAGTATTGGTGTTTTTAGAGTAACTGTATCTGATGATACTAACCACTGCTTTTGATATTTTTTTTTAATATCAATATATCGAATTTTCCTGTTATAAATAAGAAATAAAAATAATCAAATTAGTCATTCGATTATATTCTCAAAATGAGAAAAGGAATAAAAGAAATAAGAAATATTATATAAGATTTAGATGATTATTGAATCTATATAAACAGATATATAATCATAATATAATTTCTATATACATAGAATATAGTTTTTTCTGCAATTCTATTATTGTATAGTATAAAATAAGCTACATAAGGTTTAAATTGGAAAGCCCAATTGGATGAGGTTGACGATGTTCCTCTCTACTTTTTCTTCTTTTGGATTTCAATTTGCAATGCGATGTAACCTCTTCTAGAAATCGCTCCAGATATCCTAGAAGACTTTTCGTTCTCGTTCGTTCTCGTGAACGGAGCAGGACTGAGAAGTATGGTCCAGGATGGATGAAGATCAGGTGCTGTGGTTGCCCTGGCAACCGGCATTGATCCCTCCCCTCTTGTTCTACCATCCTTTTCGTCTCTCCTCCACCACGTATTATTGGTCTCTCTCTCTCTCTCTCTTTGTATGTATGTATGTATGTATGTATATATATATGTATGTATACCCTTTCCTCTTTCTTTCTAGTGTTGAACGCACAGATACAAATATACACAGATTTGTATACATATATAGATTCGAGAAGGCATGGAAGAGAAAAATCTTTTTTCTTACTTGATCTTACTTGTTATACTGCTTTTACCTTTTTTCTTTTTTCGAACCGCTCTTTATTTTCGTTCAAACTTTCTACCTCTCTTTTCGTTAGCTTCGAACTCAATGTCGATCATTCGTCATTTTCAAGAAAAAGATTAAGATGATACGAAAAGATTTAATAAAGCAGTGAAATCGAAGAGAGAAGGAAAGAGTGTAAAAGAATAGATGTGCTACTTTGTCAAAAGACGATTAAATCGAAGAAAGGAGAGGAGGATAAAAGAAAGAAAAAGAGACTTAAATAAAAATTCTTGATCTCTTAACGGAGCGTTACCAGGCAACAGATATAATTTCCATTGTTACGGTTACGGTATAAATATTTGAAACGAATTCTTTCTAACTCTTTTTCTCTTCGCTTGCTTTCTCATTTATCTATCCGTAGAAGTGCTAAAGATTATTAGTATTATAAAATTACAATTAATTTTATCTCTTCTTTTAATATCATAGAAAATTTATCATAATTTTTTTTTTTTACTTAAGAACAAGAGACTTATCACTATCCAAAATTCTTTTAATTCGTATCATATACATTTTCACACTAATCTTATAATAATTTAACTCTGAACAAAAACAGAAATTCAAAATTCCTCAAGCGTTTCTCCCACGTAACGGATTCTTTGCTGAAACACCTCTCTCCATTCCAGTTGAAAGCTATCCATTTTACTTGGCCATTGTTGCTCCTTTCTTCTAGCTTTTCTGGTCTTCTCATTAACACAAAGTGGTTGAAAGAGGTGCACCAGTTTGTTTACTGTCATTTGTTCGCTTGGTCCCTCTGGGGGTGTAAACTGGACGCCGACCAGTGGTGACCTCGCGGTCAGGGGTTAACCTCTCCGTGGTTGAGACAGATTAGGATAGGTTAGGGTCACGGACCACTGGATTACCATGAGCGGAAGAGGGCTTTCGACGACACGAGTCCTTTTGATCTATACCCGATTCCAAGAAGATTCAATGTAATCTGAACGAAGGTGGATTTGCGAAACGTCGCCTCTATTGCCTACGATGGCTCTTAATCGTTGCACTTGTTTCTAAATGGTTCAAGGTTAGCTAAGATGTTTCTTTTTGTTTGGAATGATTTTTTAAAAGACTCTCACATTGTCATCTGTTTTTTCTTCGATTTAATACTCTACTTTTTTAGTCGATCGAATGATTTTCGATAAATTGTTTCTTTAATCGTAAATTGTAAATAATTCGAATAATGTACAGGCATAAATTTAATCGTCGAAATTTATTCTTATATCGATATATTGGTATTGAGATTCGACTGTCTTGATTTTTTCTCTCGAATTCGAAATTAAATCTGAATCGCTGCTCTTTGGCTCTTGGATTATCTTTGATCTTTATAGCCCGGACAACAATCAATATTTCACTAACCCAGTTGTTTTACATTCAATAAGGTACTTCCAAAAAAACAATTTCAGAGTATTTTCGTAATATATTCATAATATATTTTATATATTTCAATAAAATTATGGCACAGAAGGAATATATTCTCCAAGCCTTAGATATTAAAAAAACGAATATTCAACTCGACTTAAGTTTCAATTAAATAATAATTCAAGTTGGATAATTCAATCTTGTTTACATTACCTAACACTTATCATCAAATCAAGACTATCTTAACATTTACAGCTGAGCTGAGTGGAGTTGCTCATCCGGCAAAAACGTCATTGCAATTTAATTGACCAAGTTGCTAGAAATTTATCGAAGATCCGAAACTTTCGAATTATCCGAGCTCTCGTCTCGACGCGTCAACGACGGTCGTTAGCGAATTCCACAAGTGGAGTTTAATCGTTCGTTCTTCAAATCGATCGGATTGAACTATCCGTAGCGCCCTTTTTTGCCGCGTGGAAAGTGAAGTCTGCGCGCTGAAGATTAACCGCGATCCGACGATAAAACTTGGGAATTAGGAATGGTCAGTTACACGGGGAATCGAAAGACCTGCGTTGATTCGAGGGGGTCGTCGCGACTATTGCTATTGATGCGCGACACCGGGACGCCTAGCGAACCCTCGATTCCATCTTGCCATTTCTCACTCCCATCTCTAAAAATCATTCATTTCCGCCCCCGTGTTTTGGTGTAAACGCTGAACAAGGGAACGAACGAGGTATGCTTAATTTGAAACATTCGTCTTCGATTCGAGGGGTGGAAATTTGAATGAATGCGATCGAGTTTCGAGAGGAAAGTTGGAAATGAAAGTGAAAGTAGAACGTATACGGTGTATTCGAGATTTTGAAGCGAGTTAGTTATTGCAGTTACTTATCTACGTGTCGTGTTAACTTAGATATTTATTCATCAGTTTGCAACTTGGCTATTTTTCGCAAGCTGTTCTCATTCGAGTTCGAGTTCGAAATTCTATTACTCCCACATTTCTCGTAAAATGACATTTCGTAATGTACGGCAAGTTGGTTGGTTCTCCAATGGGAAAATGAAGTAGGAAGGACGTGATTGGTAAAGTGGGAGAGCCGATTTGATTTCATCGGGAGTGGGTGGAGACGAAGTTTACGTAATGCAACGTATGACTGGATTGAAGTTGTGTGTGACTCGTTATGAAAAGTGACTCGAATTACTATGAAAATATCATTATATAATATCAAATTCACGTTAAACGATATAAATAATATGTATGTATATTCGTATACAAAGAGGATCGATCTTACTTATAACTTTGCGCGTTCTCAAATTGATCGAATCTAAGGGAATCAAAGGTGTTCGACACAAAGTCAAAATACCGGGAACAAATAGCATGAAAAATATCGGTACAAAGTCGTCTGGTTCTTCTTACACTGGTAAAACGCATCGTGAGCCGAAGTTTTCGCGAGTTCTTAGAGGATGGAAGTTTCGATTGGCGAGCGTTCCAATGGAACGTATATATAGATCCGTTTCTAGTTTCCACCCTTCGCTTTGTCGACGTCCTTCGGAGGGGATACAATGCTCGTACGCGTTGCCAGTCTATATGGAAATCCGTTATCGCGTTTCACTTCATGAATTCGAATGTTATGAGAGGCAATGAATTTAACGCTGGAGGGACACTTACCAACCGGGGGTGGACTTGTCTTCTGTTTTACGTCTACCCTTCTACGGTGTCCCTTGCATTTCGTGTCCCTTTCCGCTTTACAACTCGCTAAATTATGCTTCGTTTCATCGGATTATACGCTCGATGATTCTACTTGTAATTTAATGCAACGTTTTCAGACGTTGTGCAATCGCTCTTATTTCCATCAGTGATCGATAATCGAAGCGAAATTGTTGTCATCTTTAAGTTATGCTATAAGTACGTAAGGGACGGATATAACGTTTCGAAAAATTACGAGATGTAATTAATTTGATCGCCACGAAACGAATTGTCTCTTATTATATTTTATTGTTTTAGGACGTCTTAAATATTATTACAAGCAATTCGGTGGAGAGAGAGGACTGCTATGGCCCTTAGTTGCGAGGTGATTAATTGTAAGTAGATCTTTTTCCAAATTTTAAGTCTTCCTTTCCTTTTTTTTTTTTTCTAACCCTGGAAACGAAGAGACAAAGATATATTTTGGATATATAATTTGATTATCTTTATCTTCGAGTGAATTCATCCGATAATTCACAGATGCTTGTGTAGGTCGGGCGTTTGGTATTTAATTCTAACGATAAGATAACGATAAATCTGGGGTACAGATTTTATTCGAACAAACACCAGCATGTTTTTATCATCATCTTATGCAGAACTTGTTATTCTTACGAGCTTGCTAAAAATATTAATTTTTTTATATATAGAATATCTAGGGGATCGATAAATCCAGAGTGAAACATTAAACGAATAAAAAAAAACAGGAAGTTCTTTTTCTCTCAGTTGAACGTAATATTGATCACGTAAGATTATCATGTGTTCCGATTCTTATCTATCTCACATCCTCGAGACCAACTCTAGATTCGATATTTTCTTCAAACTCTAATTACTCATCATTTCTACTTATCGCATTCAGTAGATACGAGGTCTTCCGTAGATTGTAATTTTCATTCTTTAAATACAACCATTACGTTATCAATATCGCTTTGAACACGCAAGACAACATATTTGTCAAATACGAAAAATTTTTCGAGGACTTTAAGGACGAGCGGCCTATTAATTGAGTATTCTCGGTGAAAAATTTCAGGATAATGGAAAAGTATCGTTTCTTCCGAAAATTTGATCGAGATTTGGAAGGTCGAGTGGCAGGTGGGGACCACTCCACAACTGTCTCCCGTTTCGTCCCCGTTTCCTCTAAAATTGATGCGGTTTCGACATCGTTCTATCTAACAATGGCCGTTGTGAAACTCTCGCAATGCTCGGCCAGCCAGCTCGGGCCGAGCAATCTCAGGATGATTTTGCAACAGGCGCTCGTGCGTTCGTTCCACTTGCATTCTGCCTTACCGGTCGCCTAGGATACTTTCACGTTCGACAAAAAAACCATCGTCCATCGTATGACTACTGATAATTCGATTCTCTTCGTACGATACGCGTAATCGAGAGATCGAGGATGGATTTAATTGGATTTACTGGATCGCTTTGCTCTTTAAATGAAATTTACGCTGGTTTTTATTCCTTAGAGTTTCGAATTCTAATCTTTTGCCATTTTCAGATTGACAAATGGATTTAAGTTTTAAACGTGTTGGAATCGTGTGACCAATGATTTAGAAATTATAAGATAGGATAATTGAAGCGGTTGCGGAGGACCTGCAAAATAAAATGATTCGAGTTGTTCATGGCATAAAAAAGTAATCAGAATTCTGATTTAATATTTCCAGGTTTTTTTTTTCCGTTCTAAATTCCTGAAATTGAAGATCATTAATCGAACATCCTCTATGATCGTTTTCGCAGGAATTCGCGCACTCGATTCTACGTTTTTATCCTTGCAACATGTGGCACGCACAAGAAGGTGTTCTTAAGGGGGCAAGAAAAGAAGGGATATGGGAAAGTCGATGGATTTGAGTTAACAGGAGACGGCAGAAGGACGAATTATTTCCTTCATATACGTAGAGGTAGCCGCAATCGCGAGAAGTGGGTCAGATCCGTTTTCTCCTTTGATCTTCGAAGTGGTTTGATCGCATTTTTCTTCTGATTGTTCGCTTTTTTCCTTCGCTTCCATCTCGGCTAAATCACGTTTCCATCGATTCATAATTCGAGGGATGACCAGTGCACGGGATCACAACGAAATTTAATTAGATTTCTCGTTTTATCGTATATGAACGATAGGATCCAACGATGTAGCTAAGGTGGCGATCTTTTTTCGTGATGGCGGAAAAGTTGCGACCGAGATTCACTTGCACCGTTTTATTGCGCAGAAATTACTTTTCCAACTCTATCTGCAGTAAATTCGAATCTGCCGCGATTATTTCTACGAAACTTTTCCAAGAGAAATATACTTGAAATGTGCTGTGCTTCTACAATCGATTTGAACAATACTGATAATGACACAGATATAAGACGAAAGAAAAAAGAAGGGGAAATTTATTTTCATTCTACTCAATTGATTATTAATTCTTAATTTCAATCCGTTATAACTAACCTCGTTTCAAAATTATTTTTTTCAATTTCTTTCACTTAGAATAGAATAGAATATATTCCCCGTGACCGTGTACATTCTATTTTCAGATATGTTAAATTGCGTCTGTTCTCGTAAACTTTGAATCGTCTTATCGTAACATCCTTTAGCAACCATTCTTAACCTTTTCTCAAATTCGTAACGTCATTTTGAAAATCTCGATCTCAATAACTATCTTATATCACGTTTAAATATAAACTTCCATAAGTTATCCAATTATACATTCGTGCATCTGTCTCGAGGGAGACGAAATTTCTGACGTATGTGCCAAATAAATCAATCAATCCTCCATCTTCGATCTTCCGATAGTCCGTCCACCAAAACGAAGTCGTCGAAACCTGTAGCTCTCGGTTAATGCTCGATTCGCGTCCTGCATAAAACATAAAGTATATTAAGCAACACGGGCAAACAATGGGAGGCCGGGAAACCGCGAAGCGTTCTTCTGGTTTGTTTTGGCGGCGTATCCGCGGGGTTTTTGCCCCGCGTAAGCGCATCACGGCGCGTGCCCACGAGAATGACGTCATCCCCCGTGAAAACGTTACGAGCGTGCTGCGCGCGCCTCGCGATACTAACGAGGCGCAGCCACGCGTATGGAAGTGTAAGTGTGATGCGCGCGCATCGATATGCATGTGCACACAGTGTGCGCGTGTGGATATAATGCGCGCGCATCGATATGCATGTGGACGCAACGTGTGCAATGCGATCGCGATATTTTCACTGTTCGTCATCCGGTTCTCTGTGTCGTTCGTCCTACTACGTCTACGTGACGTCAAACCCAAAGCTATTCTGGTCCATGAAGAGATGGTTCTACGCCCATCTTGCGATCGCCCGATGAAACGTGGGTCGATCGATCGTGAATGCGTTTCAGAGGCATCGTTTTTGCCTGGAAAATAGTTTCGGGATACACCAGCCAGATTCTGAAAACTGGGACAGGGGAATCTATATAGGATGTTTTTGAAACGAGATGGGATCGAAAAAAGTTATTGGTGATATTTTATTCGAGATGTATTCTGGTGTTCTATAACTCCTTTTAACGTGTCTAATCTTTTAAGTATTTTTGCCTTTTATCTTCGAGTCATGATGTGATACATACTTTTCATAACCTATACAATTTGGTCATTCCTATAACTTTTAGCTGAATTTTCTTCGAATTCTTGAATTCTTCCTCGTATTTTCTTCTGAAAAGATTCATTTAGCTTTGAATGTGAATCCATGTCAATAAACCAATATCTTTGAGTACAACCGATGTATTTAAAACAGTGTACATTAAGACAGTGTGATATCTTAGGTCGATTGTGAAAGATTGGCAATGCAAATTGGGTGAATACGAAAGTTTAAAATAAGTCGGTATAAATATTAGTTCGAATCATACGTTCGGAACTCATAGTGTTTTGTGATCTCGATCGTCCATGTTAAGTTTTGTTTTTTGTTTTTTTTATATACCGAATAATTTAATCTGTTCATCAAGCCAATTTTTAATGAAGATCTTTTTTTTGGCACGGAATTAGTGAACAAGTGGCGAATCAATTATAGTCAAATGTAAGTAAATATAATACACGTATATCCAATATTTCCACGCAATAATAATTTCACGCAAAAATTTATTTTTAGCTAACAGAATGGAACAAAATAATCGAATACTTGTATTAATCAAATCACGGGTATTAATTCAATTAATATTACCAAACTCACAGGCGAGTAATTTACCTAACGATCGATGTTCCGTACTTGATACTTATCGACTTATCGAATCGCACCAATCGAAATTTTCGTTCGTCTCTAAATCTGTATAGACAATGTTGGAACAACTTTCGTTAGGCGTTGGCCAACGGTCGAAAATGTTCTCCTAAGTACCGATATAAATCAAAGGGTGGATTTAACGAACTTCTCCTATATCGATCAATATATCTCCTTACCTTAAACATAGTTTTCAGGTATTGAAAATTATAATTTTCTGTGATTCTGAAATTAATCTTTGACAAAATAATAACAAACCATGCTTCGAGAATTAGAATATTTTAGGATATTTCCTTATTTCCTATTTTATGATGTGTCTTTATCCGAGTAAAGAATTAAAAAGAAATATATTGAAATAATCATGTAACGAAGATAAAATTAAATAACGAATTAATCCTCATTTACTGTTCAATATGTGGAATAAAATTGAAAGGATTTAATCGTAATGGACCAATTCGAGGGATAATTTAATTAAGAAAGAAGACAGTCGCGTGTCGTAAAACGAACACGAACTTTTTATCGAATAACAGAAGCTCGACGTCTTTACCCCTTTCCATAGCTGTTTTGTTCGATTTTATGTAAGCCTGGCAGATATCGGAAATCTTGCGAGCGGCTTCAACCCTGAAGAAGACCCTCGAGGGACGATCGACGCGGGTAAAGCGGTGACGAACAAGTGGATATGGAAGATAGTTATTTCTGTGTACGAGAAATACGACGATGCCACGCGTGTTCTCTATTGAAAGAATATATAATATTTTCACAGGAGGAAATAACACTTCTAATATCGTGTTATTCGCCGTCTTCCACTTTTGTTAACGGAATGAAGAGTTTATAATTTTGAAACAAATTATTTCTGATTTTTCTATACTGATAATTAAATACTGATACTGATCATTGGATATCTAGAAGGGCATTACAGAGATAAGAGTGAATTATGAAAGATAAAGGAAAAGAAGATTACGTTTTAGAAAGAAAAGAATAAAATAAGAAACATATATGGAAAGATTGAGCTCATGTTCCCGTTAACCAGGACTTCATTTCATGCATTGGCTTTCTTCGTCGAGAGGACGTTGCTTCCTCTTGTTTAGTTTGAATTATTTTGGTCTGGCTAACAGAGAAAGGAATTAAGCGAGAGAATTATAAGAA